TTATGCACAGTATATAAGTGATTGTATAAAATGAGAATGAAAATGAAATAAAAATATTCAGACTTATAAAGAAATAATAGTGATAGTCAAACAAATGAGGTATAATGATAATGATGAATACAAACATTCGATCTGATAATATGTGATTTCATATAAATTGTAAGTGATGACTATGGAAAAGATGCACAAAAACACACTGTATGTAATGGAAGATGGTTTTATGTTTTATGTCTTGTTTGTCTACGTCTGTTTGAAAAGAAAAACTTTTTATAAAAAATAAGGTAAGGCTAAAGACCACACCTGCGTGGGGGAAGGAGAGCCAGGAGTCACTCACTGGGGGGCACAAAAAGGCAATGTTTGTTGTCTCTTTATTGTCTCTTCCCGGCCATCTTGGCTTGGGAACGGATCCCTGGAATTGGTGGGCAAGAGAAGTTGACCCATCTTCTGACATCCTCAGGGCCGTCACCAGTCCGGATCGACTCCGTTTCCTCTTCCATCACGGAGGGTCAGTCCTTGGACCTCAACTGCCAGGTCACTGGTCTCTCGCAGCCCAGAGTCACTTGGTACAAGCGGGAAGGGTCCCTCCCAGCGAACCGCAAGGTATGGGCATAGCGGGAGATGTTCTGACCGAGGCTTACCCAAAAGCACGAAGCCAACTCCTCGTCCCGATAAAACCCCTTTTATTTAGGTTAAACGGAATTCCTCTCCAGCAAAATCCCAGCCAACAGTCTCATGAGATTTCATAATTGATGGCCTTTATCAGGCTGGGAGAGCTGCCAGGCCAATATCTTTTAAACGCCACGCTGTAGCAGCAATTACTTGGCAAGAAGTCAGGAATAGATCTTCACCCGAATTAAACTCATTGTCTCCTGCAAACTCCACTCCCCTTTCGCTCCTCTTTATTCCCTATGGGAGGGGCCATTCACCATTCACCTGTGGCCTTACTCCCGAGTCGGCCCTTGTTCCTTAGGTGTTCCCTTTGCCTGGCAGCTCTGCACATGCGCAGACTAGGAACCAGCTCCAGCTGTTCTTCTGGCTCACTGATGTCTGACATTGAAGGCAGCTGATAGCTGGCATACGGCTCTGGCCCCCTCTCTGCTTCCGACACAGAGCCCTCATCAGAGCCTTCCCCAGAGTCCAGGACTGGCCCATGATCCTCTCCAACCTCCTGACTGTCCGAGTCTGCCACCAGCTCCACAACAGGAGACCCTTGGCTAGACCGCCCACCTCTTCCTCGCTTTGGGGTTCCTCACCACATGCCTCGACCACCTTCTCCCTTCAGATTTCTGGCCTCCATTTAAGGATTCTCAAAGCCACAGTAGCGGACTCAGGCGAATATGTGTGTCGGGTGACCGACGGCGACAACGGCGTCGTTCGAGAGGCCTCCAAAGTGATCCTCGTGCACAGCAGCTCCGAAAGTGAGTCAGAAGCTCAGGTCCTAGCTTAGGATCCAGAACTTGTGCATTTCATTGGTGCAGCTCTTGGGGGTGGAAGGGCCAAAGAAGGCAGGCCACGCCCAAGAGGAGTCCGGGGCATTTCCAGGGGGAGTTCAGCTCTCCCCTTCGAGCTAGGCCCATGGGAACCTGTAGGGGAGGATTGGCTGGAGGGGAGAGGTCTGTTAACTGATTGTCGGCCGCTTCCTCCTGTCCTTACAGCCTCGGGAGTTACCCCTCCGCTCTGGATCGAGCCTTCGTCGCCCTCCCTCGTCCCAGGACAAGCCTTGGACTTGAACTGTGTCGTGGCTGGCCAAACCAGTGCCACCATCACATGGTACAAACGAGGTGGATCCTTGCCAGCCGGTCACCAGGTATGGGAGCCCCTCGAGGCTGGAGGGGAGGGGCAGCTTTATCCAGAGACCTCTCCTCCCTGGGAGGGTGTTTACGGCAGCAGCCCCCAACCTTTTGGGCAACAGGGACCAGTTACGCAGATTGAGGCTTTTCCATGGACCAGGGAGGGTGTGTGTGGTTCCATATGCTGCCTGCATCCCACAGATAGGGCTTCACTTGTTTGTGCAGCCCGCTTTCTGGCATGCCGCAGCCTGGTAGCTGATCCATGGATTGGGGGTTGGTGACCCCTGGCTTAGGGCATCCCTTTCATTTGTGTGCCGGCTGCCTCTTCTTCCTCACCCCGCAGGTCTCCGGTTCCCACCTGCGCATCCCCCGGATCTCCCCGGCTGACTTGGGGGAATACGTCTGCCGCGTCAGCCTGGATTCCCTCACCCGAGAAGCTTCCATCCTCGTTTCTGTCACCCGCTCCTCCTCCTCCAGTAGGTGTGGGCCTCCCTGCAGGAGGGACGGGTTTGCCGGGGGGGGGCTGGCAGGATCCTCACCCACCCTTCTACTCTCCCCAGCCTTTGGCGTGGCTCCCCCGGTGAGGATTGAGGCCTCCTCCTCCGTCATAGCGGAAGGGCAAACACTGGAGCTTGACTGTGTGGTTTCCCGCCCGGAGCAAGTCATGGTTACCTGGTACAGACGGGGTGAAGCCCTTCCAGCCCATCATCAGGTACAGACATAACATAGCCTTAACACGTGCAACTGGATAACAGCTTTGGGGCCACTTTGGCAGTTTGAGGGCTAAAAGCTACAGTCTCGAAGGCACCTCCTTGCCTGCAGAGTGCCCCAAATTGCCTCCTGGGCACAATGCCAGTTTCAAAGCACTTTGGTTAGCTGGTAAACACTCTTCGGACTTTGGAGCCCAACGCTGCTATTGGGGAAATGGTGTGACCCGTGGACGTGGCACGAAAGCAACACAGCCAGAATACAGGTCTAAATCTAAGCCACATTTACTACAAGTCCTGGAGCAAAGCTCTCGCACGCACCTTCAGCAGCCTCTGGCTGCGACATTAAGCCAGGATAAGCCAAACAGTAACCAGGGCCAGCAGTCCAGTAAGCCAGGTTTAGCCAAACAGCAACCAGGGTAAGCAATCCAGTAAGACAGGGTTAGCCAAACAGTAACCAGAGCAAGAAGTGCAGTGAAGCAGGCAAACTGGGGAAGCCCCACAAGATAAGACCATGGTAATCTCCAGGTGTCGGCAAGTGCACACGAGGCTCCAGAGATTCAACACTTGTTCCCGACAAATGCCCCTCCCATTGGCACCTCCTTACATCTCAGTCCCCAGGTGTGAAGGGGGAGAAGGGCACTTTTCTACTTCGTAGCTGGCTCGGTCTGTGCGTCGTTCTTGCCTTCTCCCTTCTCTCCGTGCTCTAGGATCAGGAGCAGGTGGTCCTTGCTCTTTGCCTGATCTCTGCCTGTCCTCCTCCTCCCTGTCTGCAAGCCTTTCTAATCCTGAAAAGCCCTTCCTGGAGTGACTCTGCCCTTCCCCAGTTTCCTCCAAGGCCAACGGAGCCGCCCTCTCGTTCTCTGTCGGCTCTTGTTCCAGCTCATCATCCCCCGCAGATTCACGTCTGGGGCATGACAAACGGAATCAGGTGGCTCCAAAGTGTGGCTCACCAGGCCTGGCCTTAGTCTGTGTACGAACTGAGCTCTGTTTGGAGCTCAGACGTTGGTGAGGCAGGGCGGATATGGGGGGCAATTCTGCAAAGGTTGCTGTTTAAATAATCATTATTTTCAACCCGACAATTCGGAAATCTCCCCCTGGCTCCAAATAGAAAAGAACGGCCTTATTTTCATTATTTTTTTTTAAAGGGTTTTAGAATCATGGTTTTTTTGTGTAAAATCTATGAATCCATACGTCATAGTCAGCAGACCAAGGTTGTTTTAAGGACGCGCTGATAAGGGTGCCATCAGTGGTGGGACTCAAACTAGTTTGAGTTTGAGTTTGGACTTACTTGGACTTAATCTTCACAAATGTCAACGTCCACAAGGCAGTGACCGTTGCATTGTGAAGGCCAGGGGCAGAACGTCATGGATTACAGAGTTGTTTATCCGTGGGTTGTCCTGCC